TTGTTTATTTCTTATTTTAATGAATATCTATAAAAATACACAATTCATAATAAATGCACAAATTTAACTTTTCTTTTTTTATGTTGAAGGAATATTTATGTTCGATGTTGTTTAATTTTATGTTACTAAATATCTAAATGTGATGTGTTATACATTAATATATAACAAAACTCTAAATCTGTTTCCTGAACTCATTTTTCCTAAATTTTCATGCATTCCAGCGGGATTCGAACTGTTTCAAATATGTCCTTCTTCGTTGCACCTTGAATCGTGTTGGAAATTGGTTTGGTACACCATAATAATAAGGTTACCTACCATTGATCTAATATTTCATGTTTTCTTTTTAACCCCATCGTTATCCGTGAATCCATTTCAGGTACGAAAAAAATTCCCATTTCTAAATATGTATTATTAAGTAGTAATAAATAATTGCCATAATGTTTGTATGTTTCGAATGTAATTTGACTGATACCATTAATAAAAATTTCTTTATAAGTCCCACCCCCACAAAACACTAGTGTATATTAAAAAATAAGATTTTGATGGAGCTTTAATCTCATTGCTTCATATTGAATTTTTATGATTGTAATACATCATTTTTTTTCTTTTTCAATCCCTATCATTAGTTCCCTCTCTCCCTTATGTTGTTCAAATTTTCAATAGTTAATAAAATACTTTCTATTCATTCGTTCAAGTTCAAATATATTTTTTTAAACTTGCAGTGGATGACACTTGATGTAAATGATATTTTTTTAAAAATATAAATACATTAATTAATTTAAAAAATGAATAAATATTAACAAAAGAAATAATATTCGAACACTATATATAGAAAGGAAAATCGTTTTCTGTGTCTCTGTAGCACAATGAAAAGCGTGTTGAATTTTTAATTCAAAGTCGTGGGTTCGAATCCCAACTGGAATGGGTAATTTATGAGAATTTGACTTTATTTCACTACACTATTTTATTAGAATAATTAAATTTAGTCAATTAATGAACAGTAAGAGAGAAAAAAAATGTCCAACACCATATATAGAAAGGAACATGGAAGGAATTGGAAAATGCAAAGGAAAATTGCAAGGAAAATCACTTTCTATTTTGTCTTTTAATATTGTGATTATGTCATCTGTATATACATATGTACATTAATTGTAACTATTTAAAAAAACGTAACTAAAATAAAACTTTTCTTTGTTGACCTAAGTGGTAGTTGACTTAATTATGTTCATTGTAAGAATTTGAAGAACAAGCATATTTAAGGTATTCGACTATGTACGAAACCATGATTTTGCAAAAGAGTATAAATGAATAGTATTTATGATATTTAGTGTCACTTAGATTTGAAAATGTATATAAAATAGTTTTAAGAATATTATTATAGTAAAAAGTTATTTAAGTACGATATTTTGACAAGAAATGAACATAGAATGACCCATTTTTAAAATATTCTCCTTTTATAAAATATGCTTGTATTATATTAATATTTTGCCTGTATATAGATCAGACCTCTGTACAGAAGCTCAGCTAAAATTTTTGAAATATATAACTTAGGAGGGGGTTTATCTACGTTTTACGACAACAGAGGGGAGAAATGTTAAGAAAAAAAAACGCCAACAATTATTTCAATCGGTTGTAACTGAAAATAATGTGAATTTTTCAAAAAAAAATTATTCAGACTGTCTGGAGAAGTCTTTATTTGTATAAGTAAAATATTATTATTGTAAAGGCTTTTTTTAAAAAAGAGTCCATCTTGAAAAAAAATCTTATTCTAAGTTAGTTTTTTTGCCAAAATATTGTATTTAAATAATTTGTTTTTGTCAAAGTGTTCTTAAAACAATTTTATACTATATTTTAATCTAAGTGACACTAAATATCATGAAAATTATCCATTTATGCGCTTTTTTAAAATCACGGTTCCGAACGTAGTCGGATACCTTAAATCCAAATAGTAACGCACTGAAAATTATGCCACATGATTCATCGTAATAAGGATTAGGGTATTAAAATGTTACAGATATAAGTACCGTAAAATCCGGCGTATAACGCGCACCGGTGTATAACGCGCACCTATACTTTCAAGCTAATTTTTTAATTTTTAAGTATATTCGCCGTATAACGCGCACCCCCTTTTAAACAAAAAAATCTGAAATATTAATATACATTTTTTTATGTTTTGAAGTAATTTATTTGAGGTATTATCCCAGACTTTGAAAAAAATAGTATACTTCTAGAACTACAACTGTTCTTGTTCATAAGGCAAGTGGTTTCTTTTAAATAAAGAGTGTTTCGATACATCTAGATGTAAATTTTTTTTATACTCATCCTTTTTGTTATTTTTAAAGCTATCGTTTTTATACCCAGCATATAACGCTCACCATTAATTTTCGACCTTATTATTTGTGTTCGAAGTGCGCGTTATACGCCGGATTTTACGGTAATTATCATGGATGAAAGAAAAAAAAATAGAAAATTATTTAAAAATCCTTTGTGTATCAATTTGCAGCATTATCCTCAGTTTAGTTTACCTAGTTACGGTGATTTCGAATATTATGACGGTAAAATTGCACTTTTTATTATGATGGAAAATGTTTGCATGACTGTTTAAAGGTGCTACCATTGTGTTTATAATTAGTAGTAGCCATTGTTTAGTTTCAAGAGATAAGAATATATTTAAAATTAAATTCTAATTAACTTCATAAACTTTGACTAGGAGAAATATAATATTGGCTCCCCATATATACTAATAAATCTCAGAGTTATAAAAAAAAACACATTAAAGCTTTCTTATTATTTTAAATGGAGATAAACACTTTTAATGTTGACTTATTTGAAATGATAAAAATATTTTAAAATAATAGAAGTGCAATGTCTATCATCCGAAAATTAATTATAATTGTATTATAAGTTCGAATTCTCTAATGAATTTGTAAATTACGTCTGTTCAATAATAAAAAAAATATTCTTTTTTGATTCTGAATGTTAATCATTTCTTTTTCTATTTTATATATGTATGTTTATGTCAATTAGAAGACAATTCATGTTTATAATCATCATTTTCTCATCGAATATTCCGTATCCAAGTGATTACTAATGATATAATTACATACTATACAAGAATGATTTGAATAGGCTAATTCCTATCGATAATAACTCCATACTAACATAAATGAATAATACAATAAATATTTTAGCACATAATGTTATAACATTATGTGAGAATTCAAAAAAAGTGAAGTAAAAAAAGAAAAAAACGCGCTGTTACAATTTTTTGAAAAAAATAACTATTACACTTGTTTACATATATTTTACTTTAAATGACTCGAGAGAGATGGTAACAGAAAACATGATAATCCTTCTGCATTTTAAAGTTAAAAAAATACTCATAAATCCTGAATAATTAAAAAAGATCGATAACAGCAAATGAAGCTTAAGTACTTTCGATTTCCATTATATTTCATTCCTCTTTAATCCTGTATCTACCAGATTAAGATTTACTGCAGTTTTTTCAAGCAGATTTTTTTTTTAATCACTACACTGAAAATTAAGTGATATACATAAACAAAATACTCAAATTTGGGAAATTTAATCCGTAAGAGCTAGTAAAGGAATTAAAAATATTTAACTGTAAAATTAATTACATACACTGTTCACTTAAGGTATCCGACTAATTGTGAAAACTTTTTTTTGAAAAATAGAGATATGGGGATTTTTTTGTGATTTTTAGGTTTATTTAGTATATTTTAAGGAAAAAATCGTAAAATTGAAAACAGAAAAATAATTAATTATTATTGAAAGGGGAAAAAATTGATAAAAAAGGGACAAAAAAATAAAAACGGGGCCTGCTCGGTACAAAAATGTTTTCAACAAATTCTCAAATTTTTAAAATTTTACTGTGTTATTTTGTTATTCACGTTTAAAATGACTTTCAGGAAAATAGATATTTTAATTTTTACAAAAACTAGAACACTCTATCTTAGTGACTATATGAAATTGCTTAAAAAACAATGATTATATATTCACATAAATAACTGTAAGTTTTGAAATAAAACACTGATTGATAAACTTGAAGGTCAAAACACTTCTACTTTTATACAAAACATTCACAAAAATTTCAGTAAATTATTTTGAAAACTTGTTAAGCAATCGCTGTCCTCGTTCTAATTTTTCGAAAAAACCCATTTCGAGTAAAATGCATTTTAAAGTTTGATTTATTATGTAAAGTTATAGCATAACCTTTTACAAAAACATTTGTAGTTTTTGTTCTAGTAAATGCAAAATAAAAAGCTT